GAGATTAAGCCATTATATAGTTATATAAAAGCCTTTTCAACTCCCAAGATATTATTGAGTTGGTAATATTAAAAAGTTGAAAAACAAAGCAGTAGAAAATGAATATGCTTTATGCGTCCTTCCACTCATTGCTTACATTCTATTGTAGTGCAGTTAATTATTTTTTTGAAACTTGAAATCTTATTAGAAGAAAGAGCCATTATCAAAAGAAAGATGTTGATTTGCTATTAATGTATTTGAAAATGGAAAAATAATAATACCAATGTATTGGGAAGTAAGAAGCATATTTATTATTATTATTATTTTTAAGAAAAACAATAAATAAAAAAATTAAAAAGAGCTTTAATTCAAAATTAAGAACATAATCAAATAAATAATTGATAGAATTCAAGAACTTACAGCAAGATAACTTGGTCCTAGTAAATTCAACCTTGGTCCGGCCCAAGTAAGCAAATCACGCTAGGTAGGGATTGAAGGATTGTTAAGAAAAAGCACATGTAATTTTTTGGGTATTTCAAATGAGAAATTAACACTAACAAATTAAGACCAATAAATGAGAAATTAAGACCAATCAACAGTCGGTGAGTTAGTTTTGTTCCATTCCAAATGAGAAATCTATATATGCAAGCATGTAATTAATGGAGAGAGGAAGAAGAAGCACCTGTAATTTTTGGTAAATTGTGGTTTGTTTCCATTCCAAATGAGAAATCTACATATGCAAGCATGGAATTAATGGAGAGAGAGGAAGAAGAAGCACCTGTAATTTTTGTTAAATTGGAGTTTCTTTGAAATTAGGGATTTAGAAGGTGGATGCAAAATCTAAGGGGAATTGAAAGGCATACTGGAGAGGAAAAAAAAAAAGAAGGAATTTGTGAAAGTGGGTGTAGTTTGTTTGAAATTGGTGATTTAGAAGGTGGATGCAAATTCTAAGGGCAATTGAAAGGCATACTGGAGAGGAAAAAAAAGAAAGAAAGGAATTTATGAAAGTGGGTGGAAAATAATGTAGGAAACGATGCTAATGGAGAGAGGAAGAAGAAGAGCAGCAAGAGAGAAACGGTGAGTTGGAAATGGTGCTAATGGAGAGAGGAAGAAGAAGAGCTATAAAAGATAAATGATGCAACCGTAGGGTTTATTTAAAGTTGGGAATTGTTAATTTGGGTTAAAATCAGGAAAGAGGTAATTTAGTGATTTAAACTAATTAATTTATTAATAACATACATTTTGCAGGAGAAAAATTTCTAAATAAGGTAAGTTAGCCACGTGTTAAAAGAAAGATAATTTAAAACTTATACAATAATTTGACACTTGGCAAGGCTTTCCATTTATGGTTTTTGCTTTAATATATATATAGATATAGTGATATGTGGCATACTTATCTTGAATGGTTTCCACTTATATATATATGTAGATTTTTTGCTTATTAATAAATTAAAAAATATAATAGCCAATTAAAATTAAAAAAGTGTAATATTAGTAATTGAGAGTATGACAATAACATTATTTTATAATTAAGAGGGAGAAAAGAGAACTTTTCTATATTTAATTTTGTATGCATCTAAAATTAAGACTTTTGTTATTTTTTTATGCCTAACTGTCTTCACATGAGTAGCTCTAATATTATTGAATAAAACAAAGTTTCACATTTTTTTTTAATTTTATAAATATCATATAATCACTATTTAAATTTAAATTTAAATATTATAATATTAATTGTTGTTAGTTATTAATTACTTAGAAAATGGAAATGGAATCGTTCCAAGGTGGCCAGAGAAAGGAAAGAAAAAAAAAAAGCCTTTGCAAGTGTTCTTAGATAAAAAAAATGGTGCAACCAACAAAATGTGTTATTATATAATTTAAATATATAATTATTATATATTGATTGATAATAGAATAACTCATTAAATAGTATGATATTTTTGACTTTTTTTACTCTAATAATGATAATCACATTTAAAAAGGAATTGAGAAGAAAGAAATTTACCCAAAAAAGAAAGTAAAGCCACATGTCAAAAGAAGAGTACATTCATTCAGGAAACATATAAATGTGACATGTGGCAAGCTTTCCCTCAATGGTTTCCCCTTTATAATATATATATATATATATAAATTTTTTGTTGTTATTTTTTTTAATAAAAATAAAACAAATTTTTCATTTTCATTTAATATTGCAAATTAAAAAAGAGAGCTCTCTTTAGCTTTGATAAGATGTGAATATATTTATTATAAATATTTTATATTCTAAAATATTTTTTTTGTATACTTTATATCTTAGAATATTTTCTTTGTAAATACCTATATATATGACATTATACATACAATATTATTAAATAAAGCAATAAACCTTTCTTTAAATATTTCTCTTTCTTTAAATATTTCTCTTTCTTTTTTGTTTCTAACATGGTATTAGAGCAATAAACTCTTGATTTTTTTCTCTTATCATCGCTATTTGGTTTTTTTTTAGAGTTGGATTTTCAAATCCATTCCAGATCTGAAACTGTGTTGTTGAAATCTCTTTTCCTATAGATTGGATTGTTTATCCTCAATTCTCAAGCCCTTTTTAAGGTATTTTTGTTGGTTTGTTATTTTGATATTGGCATTTATTTCTTCATTTTTTTAGAGTTTTTTTAATATTGTGAGTTTTACTGATTTTATCGCGAGTTTGAAAGGACCGTAACTCATCCTGTATTGCTATAGTTGCCAAAGAAGTGATAGATCAACCTAATGTCAATCTTGAATTCCTACAACAAGTGATATTGAATCTTTTTAATGCTCCTACGACCTTATCTACTACTCCACGTACAAAACCTTGGTATTTTGATTCTGGTTGTTGTAACCATATGTCTTCAATTACTACTCATTTCTCTTCAATGTCACCAAATAATTCCTTTCCTGATATTTATTCTGCTAATGGTTCCCTATGAATATTAGTCACATTGGTAATATTTCTACAAAGTCATTAACTTTACCAAATGCCCTTTTAGTTTCAAAACTTAGTTATAATCTTCTATCTGTCAGTCAATTATGTGATCTTGGTCTTGAAATAACATTTTCTACTCATGGTTGTTGTGTGCAAGACCCACGGACAAGACAACTTCTCAGAGTTGGTCGCAAGGTAGGGCGCGTGTTTGAGCTCAACTATTTGCATATTCTTGATAATAAAATAGATACACCATCATTTCCAAATGATCGATTCATCCAAACCCTGCTTTGCGCTATTGAATTAGAGTCTTTGCAAATTCCATATCAACAAATCTTCTAAGCTTGTGTTGCTACTAACATTTCTCCTCTTCATTTTTCATTTGTGGCACTCACAGCTCGAACATACATCAGTCGGTAAACTTCATCCACTTATCTCTCGTGGTTTATTAGGATCTGTTCCAAATGAATCCTTGCATTATATGTCATGTCAATCTGTAAAGCAACTAGCTTTATCATTGTCGAGTAGTCATTCTTATTCTATCGCTCCTTTTGATCTCGTGCATTCTGATGTTTGGGGTCCATCTCTTACACTCACCATGGGGGGTTCCAAGTACTTCATGTTATTTATTGATGATTATACTCGTTTTACCTAGATATACCTTATGAAAAATCGCTTTGAATTATCACCAATTTGTATTGATTTTGCTACCATGGTTAAAACTCAGTTCTCTAAAATTATCAAAGTTTTGAGAACTGATAATGCTACTGAATATCGTGATACTAAACTTCAATCCTTTTTGAAAGAACATGCTACACTGACACAACAATCTTGTTTTTACACTTCTAAACAAAATGGGCGAGCTGAACGCAAACACAGACACATCCTTGATTTTGTTCGTGCTCTGCTCATTTCATCTTTTTTTCCAGAGTGATTTTGGGGTAAAGCTGCTCTTACAACTGTTTATCTTATTAATTGAATTCCATCATTAGTCCTTAATAACCAATCTCTATACAAACGTTTACATGGTATTCTTCCTGTCTATAATCTTCTTAAGGTTTATGGTTGTGCATGTTTTGTTCTTCTTCCATCTTATGAACACAACAAGTTAGAGCCTAGAGCTCGATTATACTATTTTTTGGGTTATGTGATTACACAAAAGGGATATCGTTGTTGGGATCTTGTGTCACAAAAACTCCAAGTTTCACGTCATGTTGTCTTTTAGGAACACATTATCTTCTCATCATTGTCAAACTTCAAAGTGTCATCCTCTCATCAACCTCCATTTTTGTTAATCCTTCTATTGAGCTTTTTCCTAGTGATTCTGATGCAGGTACATCTCATGAGCTCTACAATGCCTCACCACATGCCCCAACTAATTCTGTAGAAGATGATCTGCCTACTGGTAATGCATTAGATAATTTCGAGCCTTCTTTTACTTCCTCATCTGGATCATCTATTGATGTTATATTTGATAATGTTGAGTCTGCAAATGAGCTTTTTGTTCCATCCTTAAGTCATCCCACTCGAGTAATAAACCCTCCCAGCCACCTTCGTGATTATCATTGTTTTCCTACTATTACCTCTTTACATGAGCCTTAATCCTATCAAGAGGCCTCTTCTAACCCTCTTTGGCAACAAGCTATGCAAGATGAATTACAGGCTCTTGAGAAGACTCATACATGAGATTTAGTTGATCTCCTTGCTGAAAAGTCTCTAATAGGTTGTAAATGGGTGTACAAGATCAAAACACGATCTGATGATTCTGTGGAATGTTATAAGGCATGCTTGGTTGCCAAGGGTTTTACACAAGAGTATGGAATAGACCATAAGGAAACATTTGCTCTAGTTGCTTGTCTCACATCTGTGCATAATTTACTTGCTATTGTTGCTATACGGAGATGGAAATGGTTTCAAATGGATGTGAAAAATGCTTTTCTTAATGGTGACTTAGAAGAAGAAGTTTATATGAAACCACCTCCTAAGCTCAACCATCCTCCAAACAAGGTATGTCGATTGCAACGTGCATTATATGCGTTGAAGCAATCCTCTTGAACCTGGTATGCAAAGTTTAGTGTTACTGTGAGTAAGTTTGGTTTTACTTCAAGGCCTCTTGAAACGTGCATTATACGTTGTTCAAAATTCAGGATTCTTTCCATCTTAGATTGAAACAAGGCCTCTCAAAACCTCTAGGAATTTTGCATGAAACTACCATCTTGGCTTTCCATGTTTTCATCAACATTTTGTTCAGGAGAAGGTGGGTATTTCTTGCTTAGAACCTCATAGAATGACTTCTCAGCAGCTTGAAGCTTTAAGGAGTCTTGAACCATACATGTGTTTTCCTTTGTATCTTCTTCCATGAGCATTTTGTTTATGCATCTTAAAATTGCATGTAAGAAATCACAGTCCTCTAGGGAATCTTCCTTATGGTTTACACTTGAACTTGTTCCTACCGTGCTTAGTGTTGGATCAGGTGAGAGGAAATTAAAATCTTCACACTTGTCATTTGAGTTATTCTCAAGTCTGGGTGCAGCAACAATGTTCTTCTCCCTGGTGATTATGCCGTTGCAATCCTCTTGGTAATTCAGTTCTCCTCCTTGATAGTTCTTACTCATGTGTGTTGAAGCATGTTTCCCTTGTGAGTGTGAAGAGCTAAGATCCCACATCGAAAAAATATAGAAGGAAAGAGTAGCTTAAAAATGTGACCCATGGAATTATTAGACTAGTCTTTTGATTGCAATGTGGTGTTGAGATATGTAATGGACCACTTAATGTTGCCCCACTAAGCCGTATGTCTCCTCAACAAGTGGTATCAAAGCCAATGGCGTAACACAACCAATGGTAATTTTGGTCTTGGATTGGGTTTAGCAAAGTGAGAGTTTTTTTTTTTGATAAGAGCAAAGTGAGAGTTATGCTATATGTTGACGAGTATACCCATGGATGATATTGTGCCCATGATGAGTATACCCATGGATTATGTCATGTAAGTATTTCAAAAAAAGATAAAATAAAATGGATGAACTCTCATGACGAGGCCTTCACAACTCACAAGTGAAAGGGGGACTAAGATCCCACATCGAAGAAATATAGAAGCAAAGAGTGGCTTAAATATATGAAGACCCATAGAACTACTAGACTAGTCTTTTGGTTTCAATGTAGCATTGAAACATATAATGGACTGCTCAATGTTGCCTGCTAAGCCGTATGTCTCCTCAACAATGTGTTCTGTGCTTAGTTTTTATATCCGTGTCTCAGGAATAAGAGTATCTTATTCTAGTAGTAATTTAGGAATGCATGCTTGCAAACACAAAATGAATATGACCTTTGTTGCCGAAGGGCTGCGTCTTTAGTAATAATTGAAATCCTATGTTTGTGTGCGATATTTCTCACAGATAACTCATCCACCATACCATAAGTGCACTAGACTTTGAAGTTTCTTATTTCAAATATGTTAAAGAGCGTAGAGAACAATAGACAATTGATAAGACTATATATAGCATATTCAGTGCTTAACTATCTCTACTGGACCACCTATGCTTAGGATGGCAGTCTATCAAATGTCAATCATGATAAGACTAAATTGAATCTCTTTGTGCTGGCCTCCAAATGGAAATGGCATATAAAATCCTTCCCCGCCATCCTTGTACTACCCACTTGTCTGTTTCATCAATAATGAAATCCTTGTGGTAATGAGATCTTACTCTATCAGTAGCCTCCATAACTGTCTCTCTGTCAAATGAGAGCTGTACAAACCCAGCTCTCTGGTTATGGATGTGCCACTTCTTGTATTTCTCCGGCCTCTCCACTCTTTCCCAGCCTTCACAAGCAATAACATTCAAGGACTCCTTCCTGAGGAGTTGTTTCTCAATGAGCAATCTATCTGGATCATTGCGGGGTACAATGGTATCAAACATGTCAAACAAAGCAGAGAAGTGAAACAAAGCCTCTCGGAACCTTGTAACAAAAAAGGGAGAATTAAAGCCGCCATTTACAATTCCATGGATGAAAATATCTGGATTAATCTGCCTTATCAGATTGAAAACAATTGTTCTTGGACTGTTTTCTGCTGCAGATTCATCAAGCAAGTTCTCAGCACGATACAAACAGTTAACAACAATTACTTCATCCCGATGAATCTTGAGTTCCTCAACTTTAATGGCATCCCAGTTCTTTACTATGGCAGTGAACTCAAATGGGACCTTGAACTTTTTAGCATAAGCTGCTAAGCGACGTCCTGCTTCTTCAACCCGCTCAGTTGGCCTAAAGCCAGGTTCAAGAACATCAATTCCTGTAATCCGAAGCTTTGGTGGTCCACCTTGTCTCATGGAGAGCTGTTGAATAAGCGTGGGCCATTGGAAACCATAAAGAATACCAAAATCTATTACATGAAGCCTCATTGAATTGTCAGCTATCATGTTTATTGTCTCATTTGCAATGAAATAGGAAATTATAAAAAAAGGACATATAGTTATATGTAGACGGTACGCTCTCAAGATATCGGCAGCAGATTTTCTTTTACTAGCAATGTCTTTATAGATTTGGCTACCAGTACCAGTCAAGCGTGCCTCAAGAGCATCAACAAAGCACTGAGCAATTCTCTGATTTCCATCACCAACTAAAGAAGCATGCTGCTTAATCTGCTTCAGCAATTCATTCACGGTTCTACTTTCATTAGCTGCAAAAGCTTCTGCACAACGAATCAAGGCTATTCTCAAGTCCACCACCCTTATTTTCTCATTTTGTTTCTTACCAGGGACCTTTCCACCATTAGTTACTTTGGGAACTTTGCCTGTTCCATTCTGCAATGCTTCTTGTGAGGCAAAAACTGTTGTTTGGCCTGGCGAGGAACTATAAAGTAGCACCATATCAAACAAATCTGATCTAACAGAGAGGTCTGAATAAACTGCTGTCTGCTTTCTACTTCTTTCCTCTTCTGCAAAAAAATTCTTTGTCCGTAAGTTCTTTCTTCCTTTCATCCCACCAGCTGAGCAGTCACCCTTGTCCTTTTTCTCTTCCTGCCCCACCAAATCACTGTTTCCCACATTAAGCTCTGCAGGCTCCACCACACTAACATCCAAATTCACAAATAGGTTGTTTCCTCTAGGAAGAAATTTAGTAGCCTCTTCAACCCCTTTCCTGAATTGGCAAGTGGATTGAATATTGCCATTACAATTTGAGACATGAATTATGCTATTTCGAGAGTCTGTAAGCCCATCCACAGTACTAGTGACCACACTACAAGATGAATGAGATATGCTATAAATGGGAAATTCTGGTGATTGTTTTTCACTCAAATTTTGCTTGAAATGACCATCTTGACTCTGTTGGTTTTCATGAACATTTTGTTCAAGAGAAGGCAGGTATTTCTTGCCTAGAACCTCATAGAATGACTTCTCAGTAGCTTGAAGCTCAATGGAGTCTTGAAGCATGCTTGTCATTTCCTCCACATCTTCTTCCATGAGCATTTTGTTTATGTATCTTAGAACTGCATCTGAGAAATCATAGTCTGCTGGGGAATCCTCCGCATGGTTTACACTAGAACTTGTTCCTACCTTTCTTGGTGTTGGATCAGGTGGGAGGAAATTAAAATCTTCACAACTGTGATCTGCAAAGTCATTCTCAAGTCTGGGTGCAGCAACAATGTTCTGATTCCTAAAATTTGATATGGGTTCCTTTGGAAATATTGATAGGGGTTGACTTCTCATTTGGATCTCATTTATGGAACCTAAATGCCCTCTAAGCCTCTCATCCATAATCCCACCCAAGAAAAAAAAAATCGTAAAACAGTTGATTCAAGAAAGTCCCAAACTTCGACCAAACAAAAACACTTCAATCAAACTAATTGTGGTCAACAAGAAAGAGCAAGAACATCAAACAAGAACCTAAAATCCGGAACAAAGCTATCCCCTTTTCTACTAAATAGAAGTAACAACGTACCTTGGAATGGAAAACCCCAACATGAGTGAAGAAAGGAAAAATGGAGACGAGCAGGCCAGCAGGGTATGGTGTAGAGAAACTGGTATTAGCTTTAGAGAAGAAGTAATAGGCCTACAAGAAATAATGATTTGCTGCAAAATTAGTTGATAATAAAATGAAAACTCCTTTTTTTTTAATGGAAAAATGAAAATATTCTTAATTAGTGACTGATGGCAAGAGACATGCACATTAGACCAACCGTAAAATGCGGGGTAATTGATCCGAGTTCATAAAATAAAGAGAAAAATAATAATAATTTATCCTGACCTGTCGTTGATCTTTTATTCCGTTAAACGTCACCTGCAAGTGCTGACAGAGAGATTCACACTTTTTATAAAATAAAATTCTCCTCTATATATAACACTAACTTCTTTTATCAACTTTTTTTTTCATATTAGTTTTTTATCAAATAAAAAAAATTAATATCCTTATCAACTTTTCATAAAAACTAACAATTTTAATATTAATTGTGATGTCACGATTCGTAAATAACCACAAGACGGTGAATAGAACATATAAAAAGATTGAATAATATTATACAGGCAAAAGGTAAGAAAATTCTAGAACACAGGCTTATTCTCTATTGCGCAGCAAGATCTTCATATTGCCAGGGATTGAATTCAGTTGACATATTGTCAATTTCTACAGCGCTACTTGAGCTATCGACAGCAGCCCGATGTTCGACGTACTTGCCATTGAACTGGTACACTTCCAAATCACCCCATGGTGTAGGAGTCACTTCACTTGTAAGGTCAAACCATTTTGGGGTGAATTGATGACCCTTCGCTTCTCGGTTTCTCTTTTCAGCTCGCTGTCTTTCCTCCAAACTGTAAACACAGACAAATTTAAAAGATTACTTCCTGTCTCAATCCAGACAAATAAAATGCCATTCTGTTGTTCTAGTCATAAACTAAATAGAACAATGTAGTTGCAATGCCTATATCTAAGGGAGACCTTTCCCTCCAGTTAAACAACTCTCCTCACATCACCTGAGGAAAAAATAGAAAGGCATGGAGTGGGAAAAAAAAGAAAGGAAAGGTAACAATCGCATTTCCGGCATGCCATCTATAGACTATGTCAAGTTTCATTCCATTAACGAGTCCTAATACTCAGATCTCTTATAAAGAATACTTTGTAGATTACTCACAAGAATGCATGTGAAGAGGCAAGCATTCAACCACACAAATGCCACTTTTTACGAGGAAGTAGAAACAAATGAACTACTTTATTCTTTTGAGTGAGGGAAAGACCTGCTCTTTTCAGAACCAGCTTTGGAGAGGTCACCCTGCTCTAAGGCATATCTATCTGGACGTAAACGAGAATCGGATGCCAACAGATTCTTGGGGGCAGTATCAAAGCTGTTTATCTTGTGTGCAAAGTATGTGTACTGGAATTTGTCATTCTTTGGAGCAGCGGCAACTCTCCACACCTGACAACATCAAAAGTACAGTATTTGCCAAGGAATTGAATATAATATATGGCCAAAAAAAAAAGGTTAGAGGTCTTGGATTCAAGTCTAAGTGCATGGGTGGGGTGAGAAGGAGGATGGAAAGGAGATTCCTTCCTGTAACTTAATTGCATCAGAAGAAGTTTATAGGTTCTCATTGCACTAAATGTTTAAACGTCAAGTAAGCAGAGGACATTCATCTTGGCAGGTCAAAAAGGCATGAATAACCTGGAGAACAGGACATGTTTAATAACACACTAACCTCCTTAAGTTCAGTGCCTGGAAGGGGTTCTCCTTCACCATCACAGAGTTGATAACTCATTGACTCATTCCATTTCCCAGTCATCAGTATCTTGGGTTCCTCAGCTGCATTGTATATATATCCATCCACTTCATAGCGGCCAGCTCTGAAAATGACTCAGATATGTTTAAGCAAAAATATTAGCAATTGTCCAAAAACTCCAGCAAATATTAACAAGTTACTGGAGCAAAATCTTAAAGCAAATATCAGAAATCTATGAAAGAGCAGGGGCAAGCTTCATGAACCCCATACAATACAAAATTACTGCCTCTAATGGGTATCCGCAGGGTGACAAAAATGAAATGCTTTGGCAGATCTGGAACTTGCTTACAACCAAAAAGAATATTTCAAAGACAGAAAAAAGTTAAAGACAAACGTTGACCAAAATGAGCAAGAATGAGTATCATAGAGATAGCAGCTGGAAAACAAAATGATTGTAGGAATGAAACCATACCCAAACCAACCACATGGTTGAAAATAAAGAACAGCTTTGTCCCCTGTGGTCAGGTTTGTCATGATCATCTCCCCAGGTGAGTCAACCCAAGTACGTCCAAATATCAAATTGTTTACTTTTGTGGGAGGAGGCACCAAATCAAGAACTATACCATCCCTTTTCAGGGTCACACGGGTCCTGCATGCAGATTTATTTTAGAAACTAAGCACACATCAAATCCACAGATACTCCAAAAACTGTCCAAGGATAGACCAAAACAAGTGCCAAAGTTATCAGATCCATTGAATAGCTACTAGCTAGAAGAATCTAGAATAAGATCGGTGAGAAATGATTAAGATCTAACTCAAAGTAAACTCAATCATAATATCTCTCACAGCGTAAAAGTGCTGTCCTTCCCTTGAGGTGTTATACTCCCACAAAACATGCTAGCATGTACTTGATGGTGAAAAGAAGAAAAGTTAAAACTACACCTGCAGTAATGACGTGAGAGAGAGAAGGGGTGTGTGTTTCAATGGGCAGATTTTGGTTAAGACCATATCATAGTACGTCCATGCTGCAGCATTGTAATAAGGTCTGCCTTTATTCACACTTATGGAAATGAAAAAAGATCTTTGATTATAGCATATAGAATGGGCAAACCTCAAAGCCATGCTTACAGTTGGAGTCATAATATGGGGTTCAAAGAGTTGCATAACATGGTGCGAGACATTAGATATAGAAACTGAGAAGTAGAGGCTTATAGAATGGCAATACCTTCCAACAGGATAGATATCAATTGAATTCCCCAAAAATTTAGTCTTCAGCTTTGAAGTTATATCATAAATGAAATGCTGGTTTTCAGCATGACCAGCACTCATGGGGGGATGATGGCTAACCTGAAAGGAAAATGTAATATGAAGATCCCAAGCTGGGTACCATATGAAGAAATTACCAGAAATAATAACACCATACAAATCCCAGCAATATATAAAGGAAGAACAATTGTCTTTTATCCTAAAATGTCAAATGCAAAGGGCAAAATGATCCAAGACTTAGGCCTGAATGACCCACCTGTTCAGCTATAAAGGTGATACCACCATGATTAACCATTTCATAAGTCTCTCCAAGTATTGGATTGAATGGCTTCCAGGTACGTTGGTATGCATAATAGACAGATATAGCCCATGATGCTGCAATTGACAACCGTGAATCCAATATTATGAAGTAGACTACTACACAGAGAGAGAGGGGGGGGGGGGGGGGGACAGACACAGAAACAGACATAGATTCTTACTGGCATACACCAATCGCATATAAGGATCCTCACATTCATCAGCCATATCTAGCAGGTAGGAGTATTCCATTAACTGCATGGAAATGAGATTTTTATAATCCCGCTAGAACACCAAATACAATGCCATAAGAACACAGCAGCAATTACTTTGTGATATAGAAACACAAACCTCATCCATTTTCTGAAGCATTGTCATTGGCTCAAAAATAAGTACCGGTAGTGTTACCATTGATGTGACATCAGCTCCAATATAATTCTGCATCATCTTCCAGTAACTGTCCCTGTCCTGCAATGCAATACAATAGAAGGAAATGAATATGCATATTTTACATACAAATAAGCCCTTATATAGTTTTCACATTATCTTTCAATTTTAAACTAATTTGTTTGGTCACATGTTAAAATGCGATTACTTTCTCATACAAATTTCACCAGCAAGCCAAGCAGCCTTTTCTCAATTTTTACTAGATATTACATTACATGCATTGCATAGAAGATGTTAGCAGGTAAATAAAAGAAACAAAGAAAATGAGATTCAGTGAGGTATTCACTGCAGTAATGTCAGTAAATTATAAATTTGCAAGGTGCAAGGAGATGGAAGCAGATAATAATAATAATAGCCCTCACTTTTATTGTAAAGAATTGAGACAAAGGTTTCCTTAAAACATAGAGTGAAATTGTTCTGTGCCTATAGTCTAATTTTAGTTATCTAAAAAAAGCACTCAGAACCATAAATCAATGACAGGTATCCTATGGTTAACAGCAACCTTATTTGATACTTAGTTCATATTGACTTTGAGAGGACTCAACACCATGCTCAAAATCAATCACCCCAATGCATGTGACAAAATGAGGCAACTAGTATAAGAGCATTCACTCCTCTTTAATCCCTATAGACAAGATATGCAGGGAAATTAGGTTACCTCCTGTTTCCATCTTCCTCTCTTTGCTTCCTCTTCAGCATCTTCAGTGCCTCCTTCTGGATTAATAACTTCCAATCCCTCATAACCCAACAAACTGGAAAAAAGAACACCAAATTGTCAATAAATTGAACAAATTCACGAGATGAAACTAGCACAACTTCTGATATCACAAAGCCATACTACCAAACAGCTAACTAAGCACAAATGGCACTCTTTATTGAAGCACCTGCAATAAAACAGGTTGCAGAAATAACTTAGGAACTCAGCAAAAATCTCAGATCTGATGAGGATTCGCAATCCTAACTATTACTAACAATTAAAAATCAAAATCAAAATAAAATAAAATAAAATAAAAAAAACAATTCGATAATCAGTTGCAAAGATTATCCTAGCATGTACTCTTCAATTTACATAAGTATTAACATCAACTAATCAGTATTAACCTTGATTATGCTCCAAAATCACCATAAAAAACACACGAATTCAAACAAAGAGAGTCTAAACAGTTAATTGGATTCCAAAAGCCTCAAAAAAGAGATCCAGAAATACGAATGAGAGAAGCAGATCGGATACAAAATAAGGAAGGGATCTTAATACCCGTTGACTGATTTCGTCATGGCGCTACCAAAATTAGACAGAGTAGAAGCGATCGAAGCGAAAAAACCACCGCCTTGCTTCGGATCATTAGGAGCCATCTCCGGCGATCGAATTTCTCAAACCCTAACTCGAAGAAAAAAAGACGAAATTCTGGTTCGATAGCAGCGCCTCAATCAGTAGCTACAAAGCGAGATTCGGAGCAGGGCTGGAAAGAGGAGAGATTAGCCGGAGAAATTTAGGAAAGATTAACGGGAATATTTTTATAAGGAAACAGCGAAGTCCAGCACAAATACAGATTGGCTTGGCGGTTCTTTGATTTGAAGTGAAAAAAACAGCGATTTCTCGTGCGATGATGATTGTCTAGGACTAACGCGCGTTCCATGGAGCGCGTGGGATTCAGCAGTTAAAAAAAAAAAATGAGAAATCCACATGGCGGCGCCAAGGCAAGTGACGGACGTGGCTGCTTAGCCAGCAATTAGCGGGCCCGCGCCACGACTGAACGTGGATTGTAATTTGCAAGGTTCATTCAAGGGATAAGTTGTATGCTAGCGGGTGAAATGGGTAATGGAACAACAAGCGAGTTTACTTTCGGTTATGCAACTCAAAATCCAAAAAAGGTACCTTCGAGTTATAAACTTTACAACATGTAATGGGACGCCATACTGTCTCCCTGTACACCACTGCTGTACTTTTACGTTTTCCGGAATTTCAAGTTAAGAGCTTTCGGTTCAAAAACCTGTTGTTAAGCCACGATTGTAAGCTTTCGTAGGCAGTTTCCATCCCTGTTGACAGTGGAGTTGGAAGCTTCGCGCAGATGGGGAATTCGCTCCGGTGTAAGTGTGCTACAAAGTTACATTCTTGGATAGATGCATTTGTTTCATTTCTACTTGTTTGGAATCAAATGAGTGGAGACGAGTGTAGATTATAAGTTCTCTGAGCTGCATGTGCTTCACCGACCGATTATATATGTGCTGAATTCAGAGGATACAACATGAAGACAGATTTAGCTGGACTTAGAGGATTTGCAGTGAGCTTTTAGGGGCCATTTTTTTTTTTTTTTGAACTTATTTTCTTTTAATTCCTTAATATTGAACTAAATTTATTATGACTCGTGTCTGGGAAGTGATTTCTAGAACTTAGTTGTTAGCTGCGTCATGTGTTTATTCCTTGGATTAAATATATAGGTCGTTGACACCTTTTTAACTACTCAATCAATATTAAGTTATTTACTATATATCAGCTATATTGGTTAGAGGACCACCTTGATTATGTTGATAAACTGTCGTAGGGTTGGATTAAAAAAAGTGGTGGTGACCTTCTTGAAGATAAGCTTGTGAAATTGTAAAAAGGGTTTGAGTTTGAGAAGGATTCTGACTTAGTCTTCCTGGCAGAGACCTGATGGCAAGAAGAATTGGGTGATGTTTGATCAGGTTCTAGTAGAAACAACTAGTGCAGCATGTCGAATAGGTTGCTAGGTGTTGGAACTTAGAACTCGTGTTTCTCACCTCAAAAGACAAATGGTTTGAAGCTTTTGTGCTAATATAATTGTTTGCTTTTTATCTTTGCTGGACGGTGTAACGTCTTCATCCACTAAACCACAACAAATTACTCATATTGTTCCTGATGTTGGAAATTTTGATCTCACAGAGATCTCAAATTTTCTCCAGAAAACTAAAGTAATGAGATGAAACATATGTTTCAAGTTATTCTGTTGCAAATAAATTGCAAATAGTGAATGTTTTGGTTCAGGACCCAGCAATGGTTGAGTTTTGCTTGGGTGGAACTTCTTGAAAAGAACCAAACAGTTACCCAGTGGAAGAACCTGGAAGAAGAGGTTGAGTTCATGAAAATTTTATCCAAGGGAGCGGCTCTCTGGTTACAATGGCATCATGAACAGGTTAGGCCCTATTATTATGCCACTGAGTTTTTGGGCTTGGTCTATATATATTTTCTTTGTAGTTTCTCACCATTGACGATTCATCCATTTCATGGTTTGCATTTGATACAGGCATACAGCCACTTTGGAACACCACATTAAGATAGCCACTCATGGCTCTTCCAATAGAGGTCACCCCCAGCGAAACATTGATATATCTGCATTTTTACATCTTCCAGAAGGACCAGTTAGAGTTAGGAGCTCTGCCATTGTTAGAATATTATGTTCTGCTGAAATTGATTTCAAGAATCCCATACATCATGGATTTTGGAAATTCCTGGTTATGTTCAGTTTACATCCCCATTCACAGATATATGGATCTTCTTGCTCATTATCAGGTAAGTTTTTTCCACTCTTGTCAATCTGCGCTGATAGTGATATTATTTTCCTGGAAACGTGCAGAATTACCACAATCCACGTACATCTGTCATTCTTGGTTCGGAATCACACCAGCCTTTGTGAGGGCCTGGATAGCAACTTGCATGTTGGGACAAAATTACAAAAATGCCGTTACTTATCTAAAATATCATAATTCATGCAGGCAACTATCTCTGTTAGTACTAAATATGGAACTAGTATACAAACTACAATCTATAAACTTGTCTAAATGGCCTACCCAGTAAAGGCAGAAAACTACAATCTAGAGATACATTTTCCATGGGTAACCAGCCAGCCATTTTGGTTATGGTTTGTTTGTTGTTTTTGTTTTAATTAATTTTAATCTGTTTGTTAGTATCATTAGTGTACGAGTCTGTTTTTGTTTTTATTATCACCAAATGAGTCTACAGATTAATTTCTCTTTTCCTTGATTTATTCTTGTTACTGATTTTATTATCTGTTTTTAAAGCTTGATCTTACCCTGTTAGAAAATGACCTTACAAACATCTTCATATGCATGTCAAGGTAAAAGCATATCTTGGAGGTGAATCTCCTCCATTCTCAGCTGGTCAGCTAGAAGAGGAGGCATCAATATAAATATGCAAGTTAGAGTTGTAAGGAAGCTTTGCAGCAGCAGCAGCCTCTGATTTTGGATAATTGGATTCTTGAGAAGGCAATCAAAGGAGAAAAAACACCATGGCTTGATCCTTCGATTCATCAAAGTATTGAATTGTTGCCTTTATTATTATTTGAGGTAGCATTTTGTTACTCTGAAATTATGTACTTCTTATAGGATAATTGTCAATAAAAGGATGGATATCAAGATATGGAATTCAAGAGCTGCGGCTGTTTAGATGTAGATTTAACTCAACCAACCTATGTTACAGGTATAGGACTACAAACATGTGCATGGTATCTGTCCGAATGCAAGTAGGAGATGAAATAGAAATTAAAGCAGAAGAAGCTAATCCATGCGATGATTTCCTTCTTTCAAGGAGGTTACTTAGGTCAATCAAGTGATTCTTCTGAAGGAACTTGAGATGAAATTTTGACTAGTCAACTGCAAAAATAATTGACAAGTGAATATTGCCAACAAGGTATTGCTTCCCTTTTGTTGTGTGTCCAAATGACATACAGATGTCAGCCTATGTATGGTCGACAAGGATAATTTGTGCATAAACTGGGTTAACCTTATTGTATCTTGGTTTCCTCTTGATGTGATTAAGTATTTGATGATGCAGCAACATTGTGCTTAAGTCTTCCCTTCAATTGAGAAAGTATTAAACCCATCTTAAGGTCCATCATTGGAGAAAGGGAAGCATCAAGCATGGGGAGGTGAAAGTTTACTGATTTACTCATCGTTGGCAACGCTTGAGTCATAAGACTCATAACTATTGTTATATATATGAAACTGAAATGTCATGATTTTCATGACAGTTACTAAGTCACAGCATGCACGATGCTGCATAAGAAATAAAATATATTTCCCAGTCTGTTTTATCTCTGGGGATTCACTCGTTCACATGATTCAAGAGTACAGAGAGGCTTGAGGGAAGGTGTTGGGACTAGGGTCTATCTTAATCCTGCATCATCCATGTGGTGTGTGGGCTTGCAATTATACTCGCTAATTGCTTTTCTAACTGCTTTTGGCCCTTTTATGCGTCAGGAGAGGTAGGTAGTTGTGGTCATTGAAAACTGACCTTAAGGGCTAATTAGGGGTCAATACTCAATACTTCCCACCAATTCAATTTTAATTCTAATAACTTAAGAGTGTCTCAACTAATAAAAGTTTAAAACTCTGAATTAAAAATCTTAGGTTTTTATTTTGAGACAAATCAAAAAAAATTTGAAAAATAAGATAATTATCTTTTATTATATAGATTATAATCATACCAATAGTTATAAATGCTATTTGATTCAGTACCCAACTTGCTGTCAAAGTCAAGATACCTATTTCCCAACGTAGCATGTTAAATTCATGTCAGTCACAGATTGCAAATCAGTGACATTGGTGAACGGTAACATGTGCTCTTGGAGACAGACGATCTTTCAATTCCATTTCAGAGTAGCATATATGAGAGCACATGAAAGACATTTCCTTTTAGAATACGATGTCACAAAGCTGTATCTAGAATAAGCTTCAAAAATCAGAACCATTCATGTTCTTGTGTCAGATGTGTTGTCTTAACATGGTTTGTTGGCAGAAGCAGGGCTTAGACTTGTCCATCAGAGTGGTAGAGATGAAGGGACTTAAAACGTGCAATATATTGCTTTCTGAGAGGTAAAGCCTGTAAAGCATTGGTGATGCTCAATGCTAATGGTTCTCTGCATCTTGGTTGTCTCCTCCTCTGTACAGGAAACAGTTAAAAGCAATTTACATTTTTTTATTAACCAAAGTAAATCATCTTAACGAGAGGATAAAATAAAGAGTACTTTAATGCGTTATTCAAATAAATTTGAAAAGCGCCTCAAGGGTCCTATATGAAATTCTAAATAAATGGACTAGCATTAACAATACTTATTGATGGACTCCAACAAATCACCAACAAAGAAAGACTAGCATTAACATCAGTTATGTATCCCCGGGACCAACAATTAAGATCCTGCGATTCTAAGAACATTAGATGGGCTAATCTTCATAGGATGATGTTGCAAATTGATAAATTTCAATCCAGCAACCCAATGACACACCACAACTCTTAATAACAGAAGACAACACAACTTCAAAATTGCCTTAAATTAATGAATAGGGGACCATTTTGATTCTCTTCATAAAAGCAGGATATAGATAGCCTTTCAAAAAAAAGAGAAAAGATATAGATAGATATCTTAGCTACAATAGATCATCTGAAATTGTCCATCAAACCCACCTCCAAAAAAAAAAAATGAAAAATGAAAAGAAAAGAGAACAATTGAGGACGGGTTGTAAATTGACTAACCAAATTATAAGCAAAAAGGTACTTCTTCATTTCTTTAATAAGGATTTAAACTCCCATTCCTCTTCTTTACTTCGGCGAATTTTAACTAATTGATCTGTTTTATAAAAAAATATTCTTTTATGACTAATGGCTCGATATAAGCTTATATCCCAAAGCCAATGCAAAATAAAAAACATGAAGCAGTTCAAGTGAGAAAGCACGGTGTAGGATGAAGAAAAATGTGCAGTCTATCTGGGGACTAGTCAAGATAAAATTGCATGGAGGATCTGTAAATCTTCTTGAAGGAATTTAAAATTGAGGGGATAAATATGAAAAAAAATATATATATGGGTGGGCCCAAAGGCCCATGAAATTTCATAGAAGATCACATGGATGTGGAAATGTGAGATGGGTTTGTCTACCCTTGAAAAGGTTGCAGCCATACGGTTGTCAGCTCCACGCGGTTTTGCCTCTGTTTCTCATGACACTTCCCTTCTTGCTCTCTCTCATTTGGGCAAATTTTGGTTTACCCACAAGCTTCTTAAGTTTTACCCTTATTTTCAGTGAGTCATGAATAGAGATAAACAGCCTTCATAGCTCACTTTTAATGATTGATTATGCGATATGAATAATCAACTTTTACAAAACTAGGCACTCCTTGTTACCTGCAAAATGAAATTATTCGAGACCTTTCTTTAAGAAATCTTTATTAATGTCTCCCATAAAAATTATTAAAGAATCGTCATAAAATTTGAGTAATATAATATAAATCATCTAACGAGAGGGTTTATAGATGCAAAGATGAATATTTTATATTTTAAATTGTGAAATATTCATTTCGAGAAATATTAATCTTCATTTGGTTGATTTATTTTAAATTTTCAAGAAAAAAAATAGTATTTAACATGTGAATGATGATCATTAAGCAAGATATGAGTCGCATGTGAGTACCTTCGTATGTATCGGAAGAAAAAACGGCACCTTCTTATGGGGAATTGGAATCAAATTAGAAATTGACTTCTATATATTAATTTTTCAATAAAATATAAATAAAACAAATCAATTATATTTACTAAGGTCAAATTGGAACGCCCCGAAAAAACTAAGTTATATGTGAAACCCTAAAGTCAACAGACATTATATAAGAACAAAATGCATATTACCAACTTGTGTACCATGTTTTATAATTTCAAGTATAAAATTCATAAATAAATATTATTTTATAAATTAAATTTAAAATTTAGGTTTTAGAATCAATATTTAAGAAATTTTTTTTTAATTTATTATATTGATATAGAGGTGTGATTATAAGATCATTTGGAGAGTGAGAAAAAATAATATCAAAATATATAAAAATTAGTCTAAAGACATTTTAAATGTAAATTAAAAAACAAAAAACAAAAACAAAAGCCATGTTCTATGGACTATCATAAAACCAATCGTACATTGGTTTAATCTAAAGCTTGCTGACAATTTAGTTCTAAGATTTAAGAATATATAAATCCACCTAGAAAATACCTAACATCAAGTGGTACGGAATTGACCCAGTTTTCTTAAGAAAAAATAAATCATCATCCATTTTCTTTTACTTAAAACAAGGTACTAGCTGAATGGTTCGTTCTAACTCAGTGGTATTGGACTCTAGATTAGTGTTATTTATTTTTGTGAGTGATGTGTTCGAATCCCATGGAACTTATTTCTCTCCTCTTCATATATACTTATAAATAATATCAAAATTGTTAAAAAAAAAAAAAAAGTACTAGCTGGATAATGTATGGATTTACACTTCATGAATTAATTAAGGAAATGAATAGTATAATCTCACATGAACATCCAACATTAGTTCTTATCCCTAAACCCTTACCCGACGATCTCTTTCATCAATGTGAATTTGCAGCATATAATATGAAAGGACATTAATACAATATATTTATTAAAAAATTATAATTTTTGAATTTAAATTAAATACAAGAAATTTAAAATTATAAATTTTAATAGTTGAACTAATAGTTATTAATAAGTATGTTGAATAAAAAATAAACCAATCATTTTCTAATATATACATGTATCATTAATTATTATAAATTCGGATACGTGATACATACTAAATAGAGGTGTATATTTGTCAAGGTATAATCTATACGTTTGAAAATGATATAATCTATAACTTATCAAGGTAAGATTGTTGCGTAGGAAGATATATATATATATATATATATAAATTGTTGCGTAGGAATGCGAATTAATTATATGAGTAAAATCTAAGGATATGTTTGTGATCCCTAACCATATAAATTTACATGAATATGGTTGTTATGAACAATTTGATTTATTTATGAAAAACTACAAATTAAGTTGTATAAACTGGGAAAGGCTTAAGAATGGTTTTGGTTGCTTTTGCTTATAGTTTTTCACATGGAATATTGTGCGGTGAAAGCAATAAACCAAGCACTTAGCCCATTTTGTGCTTTGTTAAAATTGCAAGATAGCTTCAATTATATATATGTGTGCTTGTACTCACTTGTTTTTTAAACTCAAAAAGGTGAATAAAACACTTTGCTTAATTTCTAAGCAAATTTTAACCCACACTATTAGCTAGGCCTAAGAAATTCTTCACCTCTCCTTTCTATTGTCATTGAAATGCTTTGCTAGAAAATGACAAAGTGTTAGAAAGCTTTTGACTTGGCACCTCTTTTATGTTATTCCTAGTCTAAAGTTAGTATATATGTAAATTTTGCATCTTGTGCGATGCTTCTATCAAATGCATGAATGTAAAC